CTAAAATCGAATCCAGTCACATGGTGCCTTGACTTATAACCCCAATGACTTAAGACCAAAATTCCGGGCTCCATTTTGGTTGTAGGTCGAGGACTACCTGTGCTACATTAATGATGACACAGGAGCATGACAGATCTTGTGTTCCCACTAGTGAAAGCAGATTTTGGATGAGTTTGAAAGATCTCTATTAATTACAGCAAACTAGAAAGGGACGAAGAATTATTTTATTACAGAGAAGAGAGGATTGAGTTTTTTTTTAAAAAAAAACAGGCAACACTTTAGGTGTCTTTTTGAAGCTTTAAACCCAACTCTTCCGAATGAACCAATGAGCTAAGTTCCAACGCACATACCTAATGCTTATTTCTTCTGACTATGGATCTAGGCTTGTAGATTCTAACCAGGAATAAAGTACCAAAGAATGAAAGCAAAACCCAAGGCAATATCATCAGAAATATGGATTAGAACAGTGTTTCTCAACCTTGGCAACTTGAAGATGTCTGGACTTCAACTCCCAGAACTCCCCAGCCAGCGAATGCTGGCTGGGGAATTCTGGGAGTTAAAGTCCAGACATTTTCAAGTTGCCAAGGTTGAGAAACACTGGATTAGAAAAGTCCATGCATGCTGTAACATGTCTAATTCCTGGGTGTCCAACCTAGGCAGGGTAGCCTTAAAACTCGTGGACTTCAACTTCCAGAATTCCTCAACCAGTCAAGAGTTGAAGTCCACAGGGCTGGAACATACCAAGGTTGGACACCGCTGGTCAAAATGGAAGTATAATGATGCACATATTATCATTGTAAGCAGCTGTGAGAAGCGATTGTGGCTTTAAAGAAAGTTTTTAAAAAAATCAAACCATAAATTTAGCTGTTTTGATGCTCATGGCGGAAAAAACTTACCTTTTGATCCAGTCGCTGATAGTCGCTAGATTTGGGCCTTCGGGTTATCTTCGATTTTTTCCCTTCTAGAGCAAAAGCAATAATCTTTGCAAGGGAAGAAAAGAGAATCAATAAGTGTGCCACAGTAAGAATTTGAACCATCACACTAAAATGAGCAAATCAGCTTGTCATAATTATTAAACTAGAAAAAAGCACATTATTTCAGCAGAGGCTTAAAAAGAGAGATGGCACGGATAGTATATTAAAACCTATAAAATAGCAACAGTTATGTCACACCAAAGGGGGGGGAAATCGAGTCTCACTTAGAAAGTAAGACATGATTCAAAGTCATAACCCATCAAGTACGCCAGAGAATATAGAAAAAAATTCATAATTGGAGTGTTGCTTGAAACAGCTTCTCTACAGCCAATAGACCAATTACATCTTTTCCAAGGTAAGAAAAATGAACAACGGTTTGCAGCATGTATCAGTCAAAGCCAAGGAACATATTTTAAAATACCTAGCTTTTTAGAAGCTTTACATAGCATTAGCATGGTTTACTCAGCATGATCCCCACCCACAAAACCAATACCCCAATATATTTTGAGGGTAGAGTTTTATTTTTGAAAACCCAGTAAAAAAACAAATAAGTCAAGTCCTGGCTAAAATAGCCTCATTAAAATCAGATTATCTACAGGACATTACACTATTTCTTTTTGCTAAAGATGCCTTGAGGAAACAGCTTTCATTTTTATCATCAGTCTAGCTGAACAGGCAGACAGACAAAGAATGGACAGATATAAATAAATAAATGGATGGACAGACAGACACACAGATAGAAAATTATCAATACTAACTAGTCAGAATACTTACTTTCCGTTTATTATGATAGGCAATGTATAGGGCAGCAACAATAATAGCTGTGGTCACCAAGTAGGCAAAGAAGTGGCTATTTTCAGATCCATTCCTGGGTGTCCCCTCTGACTCTTCCTCATGCTTTGCACTCTTTTTCTGTTCATCACCCAACCCTTTTTCTTGTTCATCTCCAGGGTCAACTACCTCTTCCTCGTTTTTTTTGGATTCCACAGGATTTAACTTTTGAGGATGTTGATCCAATGGAAAATCCTGGTCTTCCGCTTGTTTTGACTCCTCATCATTTGTCTCTTGTTCAGAAACATCTTGATCAGAAATCTCTGTCTTAGATTCTGCATCTTTGGCATCAGCAGGTTTTGATTTCGAAGAGCCTTGAGCATTCAGGTCTTTAATTAATAGGTCCCCTCCCTGATTTGGTTCCTTCGGTTTTGACTCTGGAATAGAAGCTTCATCAGCTACGTCTTTCTGAACGTTGGTGGCTTCAGGAGAATTTATCTTCCCAGAAGCAGGTTCTTGAAGAGATGAAACTGACTGGGGATTCTGGTCTTTTTTTTGTAAGCCTGGAGATTGTTCTGATTCCTTAACATTTACACCTGGCTGAGAAACACCTGTCTTAGATTCTTGTGTGTGATCTTTCTCTTTCTGAGTGTTTCCGGTTTGAACAGGATTTAATTTTGAAGGCTCTTGAGCAGAATCACCAGGCTGAGTGTTCGGGCCTTTAATTGATGGGTCCTCTCCCTGCTTTGACGCCTTAGTTAACTCTGGAAGAGATGCATCAGATGTTTCTGTCTGAGCTTCTTTAGGTTTATCTATGTCTGCCATACCTTTAGCAGCCTCTACCTTTGCAGGACCAGGCTGTTGAGCAGACTGGGGATTCTGGTCTTTTGCTGATGGGTCCTGTGATTGTTTTGGTTCAAGTGCATTAATGTCTTCTGAATTAACTATCCCTTTCTCAATTTTTTTAGGCTGAACAAGACCTGATTTTGGAGAAGCGTCTTGAGCAGAAAGACCAGCGTTATGGTTCTTAATTGATGGGTCTTCTCTCTGTTCTGATGCCTTAATATTTGACTTTAGAAGAGAAGATGTATGAGAAGTGCCTGTCTGATCTCCTTGAGATTTACCTATGTCTTCCTGAGGTCTGTTGGATCCAATAGCACCTGGCTGGGAATCTTTGTGACCAATGGATGATTTCGCTGTTTCCATCGTTTTATCAGAACCTTGCTGGGGTGGCTCTTGCTGGCTATTTTTTATATTACTTTGTACAACTTGAAGTGGTTCTGGCTCTGAAGCACCTTGATTCAAGTTCGTTAAGGGTAGGTGATCACTGGACAACTCTACAATGTGGAAAACCTAAAGTTAAAAAGTATTCTGTATGCTATAATAATACTGTGTGGTGGTGTACAGTAATGCAAACTACAAAATAATGCTGAATATATTCACCCTTTTTAAGTACAACCTTTTAGGTATTTGTATAACCTAGTGCTGTGGCCTTGGGCCAGAGACAGCTAACATAAACCAGACAGCGGTCTGTCTAGAACAGGGGTCTCCAACCTTGGTAACTTTAAGCCTGGCGGACTTCAAGTCCCAGAAGTCCGCTGGGCTTAAAGTTGCCAAGGTTGGAGGCCCCTGTTCAAGAAAGTAAGAATAGAATGGTGTAATAGGAGATTGCAATATAAATCCTGTAGTATATTGGACATGTTGACAATCTCACACTGCAAGGGTGAAATATAATAAGGAGGTCATTTCAATGGGTATCATGGTGGTCCAGAGGAAGAATTACAGTGTAATTCTATCATTCCTTTTACAGATAGTTGTCAACTTACAACAGTTCACTTAGTCACGGTCAAAGTTATGTCAATGAAAAAAGCGACTTATAATTTTCACAATTACAGCCATCCCCATGGTTACATGATCAAAATTCACAGCTGGCAACTGACTCATATTTAGGACAGTTGCAATATCCAACCTTTTGAGACCTTCTGACAAGCAAAGTCAATGGGGAAACCAGATTCATTTAAGAACCATGTTACAAATATAATAATTGCAGTGATTTGCTTAACAACTGTGGCAAGAAAAGTTATAAAAAGGCAGCAAAACTCACTAACAAATGTCTTACTTAACATAAATTTGGGATTCAATTGTAGTCATGCGTCTAGGATTACCTTTACCTTTCTACTTCAAATGTAATTGGCCAAATGTATATAATTGGAGGGAACATTTTGCTGGGGGCTCTCCCCTCCCTGCTATCTGCTGGTAGGGAATCCAGTCATCAGTGTTAGTGCTTTCCTATAAAATTGCACCTATCTCCAATGCTTTGGTTTCTAAAGTGAGAGAGCAACTTTCTCACAACTGCCCAAAACATTTTCATACTGAACTTTCATTAATAGTGCAATGTGAGTTGTACACATTCATGCCACATTTAATTCACATCCCGCCTTTATAATTTTTTTTAAGCAACTCAAGGGAGAGAGCATATTTCATATTCCTTCCTCCTATTTTTCCTACAATAATCCTGTGAGGTGAGCTGGGCTGACATCACAGCAAGATCGCATTATTTCGAGTGGCTGTGTGGCCATTTCCAATCTCTATGTTTTATTATACATTTGCATGCTTGACTTAATAAGGCAAGAAAGGCAATCACATATTGAAATTAAGCTATTATATATGTTGTATTTTGACAACGCTGGGAGTGAACCCTGGCAATTTCGGCACATGGTGGGCTAGCTGGCTGGAGGATTCTGGGAGTTGAAGTCCACAAGTCTTAAAGTTGCCAAGTTTGAAGACCTCTGGTATAGTCCTTCAAAGAAGGCGGACCGTACAGACCATCCTGATAGCTTCAATCACTTTGGAACGAGCATGTGATGATTTCCCTTCCGTTAGCCCTCCATCCTCCTAGCCGCCATAGCGAAGCTATGAGCCCAAGGTCCGCGGGCAGGACGGGGAGTGGGGGTGTAAAGCAAAGGCCTTCTCCTTCTCCCCCTCAAGAGCCCCCACTGACCTTGAGCATTCGTCCCCGGGCTCTTTCCCGCGCCTAACGGCGCCGCGCTGCCCCAGGCAGCCAGCCAACACAGGAGGAGACACCAGGACCAACACGCCGCCATGCCGCCTCAGGATCGCTTTCTACTTCCGCCCAGTTGCCAGCGGAAAAGGAAATCCGCTTTCCACGGCTCTCGCAGCGCCCATTTCCGGCTGGGGCTCCTTCTCTCTCCCCTCCCCGCGATGCTGTTCTCGCGAGAGCTGAACTTCTCGGGAAGGCGAGAGGAGGGGCGGAAATCTTCTGAAGGGCGTGGCTTACGATCCCAGGGAGGAGGGGCTGGAGCTTGCCGCTGGAAGGGAAGCTCCTGCTTGAACCTCATTTGGGTGAATATACACCGCCGGCTTTAGGCAGCTCCGCAATTCTTTTTCTTCTTCTAATTGAGAGTTAATGTGGACCACTCCAACTTGGCATTTTCCAGACGTGTGGATCCGAAATCCCAGAATTCCCTATCCACACATCTGAAAACTCCCCACTTTGAGAAACACTGGTGTAGATTAAACCCTCCCAACTCCACGTCTGAATTGTAAACCGGGAAACCCTGGAAAGCTTGAAGGTAGTAAGTAGCCTCTTGCCTGCATTGCAGAGCGAAAGATCTGCTTGCTGGATTGATGGCTGATTCCACCGCCCACCCTCGTTCTCTGCCCGGCCACCTTTCCTTTTCGGTATTCACGCAATTGCATTTCTGGCTGTGTTCTTTTTCATTGTTTATTTCATTGCTCTATTATCTTCCTTTCACACTCTTTTCATTTCTTCCTTTTTATTCTTATAAGCCGCTTAGAGTAGCTCTGTGGTGAGAGAGGAGCAAATACCTTTAAGAAATAAGAGATTGAAAGTAAACTAGGGAAAACATAGATTATGCCAGCAAAGTGCTGAAGCAGGACAAATAACAGCCTGGGTTCGCACAATTGGTTAACTAATGGAGTTTGTTCTGTTTTAATTTAGGTTGTGAGAACTTGGGTCTCATGAAACAAAGCACGGTTGAATCCAATGTGTGAACTCAGATTTGGCATTAGATGTGTCAACAAAGCCTTGGGCCAATAACTTTCTCAGTCCTAGGGAGAAGGCAATAGCAAACCTACTTCCAAAATTTTGCCAGAAGAACTAAAGAGGGCTTTTTTGTCCAAGCAATCACCAGAAGCCAACACTAACTTGAAGATGCCACACAAAATTGCTGTGCAAAACTCCCTGTGTTAAAAGAATGGTGATGCAGCACCATCTTGTGGTCTGTATCTTTTGTTCTCAGCTATTATGAAATACAGTTGCAAAGGGGATACTGGTATTTATTTATTTGCTACTTGACAGCACATTGCAAGTTCCTATTTATTAATAGGGTTCTCCAACTGGTGCAGTACTCAAAAGATAAAAGTCAAGCTATCGTATTCTCAGCACAGTCCTCAGAAGGGGGACTGTTTCTTTTTTTTTTTCACTACACTTTCGTCTCACAATGAATTTCACAATGGAGTGTCATAAAGAATTGGTAGCATCCTTGAAAGATAAAACCAAATACAATATAGTTTTCCCAGCCTTCCATGATGTAATGAGTTGCATTGTTTTAATCTTCCAGCATTTGAAGTTTATTTGCTTAAGGAATTATAAATTCTTAAAACAATGAGGTCCTTTTGCTGATTATAGGTGGAGTTTTTGCTACTGAAGATGATAAGTCATTTTAGGTGGACGGATGCAGAAAATTCTGCAATTCAACACAAAGCAAACATTTTTCTCAGTGAATCATTTTAAGGCTGTCATTGTAACATTGGTTTAACTCTTTAGTATTTTTAGATTTTTGAAAACCACTGGAAGCTTTTCTCATATTTAGGAACTCTCTCGCGGATTTAAAAGAAAGGAGGGAAAGATTATCATTGTATCTGCTTTTAAAGCTCAGGAAAGTGCAGATATTTCATTCATGACTCCAAGGCAGGAAGCTGTGGTTTTATGAATTTGTACAGCCACTCTGCAAACGCTCTGAAATTCCAGGAACTGTTAGGCCAGTTTCAGGAAAGCTGCAATTTGGATAATTAGAAATTTTTCTAATTGTTTCCTTCTTCCTTTTCTGCACAGGACAGTAGCCTGAATGGGAATATTCCAACAGCAGAGTCAGCTGGCCTTATCTTTGAGTTGGTATACTTTTTAAGTTTTTCCAGAAGTGTTGTCCAAATGCTCTTTCTGAAGACAATGCATTTCTTTAGGATCAGGAGATTTCTTATGACTATATAGAGGGAAGCTGTTTTTCATATGGAATTCAAAAGGAGGGAGAGGGAGTTCTCAATTTATTTAATGTAGCTGAATATATACATACAGAAAAAAACATGGGTTAAAATATCTCCTCCTTGCATTAACTGCTGAATAAGCTTCATAAACAGGAGTATTGGGATAGTAGAGGTGAATCATTACTGTAGAAAAGGAATTGACTGGTCAGATTTGTTTATTATTTATGGTTTTTATAACCCACTGAATTCCCCAGAGACTTCTGTGATTTACAGATGCGACCTTAAATGTGTTCTGCTTCTGTGCATGATGGGGCCACTGGAATCATTTATGATAAGGCAGCCTTAAAAATTGAATGAATTATTATTAATAATTAATATTAGGATGTGATTTAGGGCAGCAAGCCATTGTGACTTATTTAAAAACCGTTTAAAATATTGGCTTAACACAGTACAGTGTTTTCCAACCTCGGGAACATTAATGAATGTGGACTTCAACTCTTATAAGGGTTGGCTGGGGAATTCTGGAAGTGGAAGTTGACACTTCCTAAGTGCTTAAGGTTGGGAAACACTGGCTTAACACAAGGGCTGGACTTAACTACAGGTACTTCAGGTTGCTAAGCCATAAAGCATGATTTATGAAACATTGTGACTAACCTGCTAAATT